CCTCTCTCTCTCTTTTTTCCTTCCCAAAGCCCTGGTACATAGTTGTATGTTTTGGTTGTGAGTTCTTGTTTTATGTGGGTCACCAGCACAGCACACTGTGCTGAACTTTAACCCCTGGCCCATCAGGGCTGGCTCTACGTGAAATTTTTAAGGAAAGAAAAATTTGAGCAATCTGAGTTTTTAAATCTATCTGAAATTCTACCTTTCACCTGAGAAACAATTCAAATGGATCAGAAGATTCTGCTTATCATATTATTTCCTCCTGTACTGAGCATGAATAATAGTAATGATAACAATTTGCGTTTGTATAGCACTTTGAAGTACTTACCCATGATGTCATTGCTCCTCACTGCAGTCCTGCAAGGAGATACTTAGAGGAGTTGGCATCTTTATGTAACAGATGAGTAAGCCCGAGTTAGAGAGGTTAAGTTACTCTCCCCAAGCTAATACGTCTGGCTAATGGTAGAACCGAAGTCCTGTCTCCAGACTCCCAACTGTTTTTTCCACTTTTGTGAAGATAAATTGTTTGGTGAGATATATAGATTTATATATCCATGTATCTAAATGTATATTATGTATATATCTATATGTGTATTATGTATATATCCATATATCTAAATGTATATTATGTATATATACAGTATATTATGGATATATTATATATATTAACATACACATGTATGTATATTAATTCTAAGTGATATATTTTGACTCAATAATTGTTATTAAAAGTTGTCACAACTTACTTTTAGTGTACTCCTAGGTACTGTGTATCAAGCTATTTGCTTTGCTTTCTTTTTAGCTTTTTAGCGAAACTAATTGTTAAGTCAATAAATGAGTTAAAATGAAATTCACTGATAACAGACAGTGCAGTACTTTCTTTGTTGATGTGTGTTGTGAACGTTCCTCCCACAGAACGTTCTCCCTTTCATTATCGGGTGTACTTCCCACGCTTGGTTGGGTCTGCCCTCCCCCCAGCCTCCTAATGACTCTGGGGTTAATGCCGGTCTGAAGGGAAATCTTTCTTGCCCTCGCAGGGTGGGGAGAGTTTAATTTTAACCTACGGAAGCTCTTTGCAGACGTGCCCGTGAATTGAAAGAGTTTCATTAGCTGTGTTATCTAGCATTTTAAAAGTACCCTTTTCTTCACTAGTGATGGGAGAGCAAATCTAAAATTGTGAATTTAGTGTTATTTTAGATAGCTGAAAATACAGTTCTGAGCATTTTCCAGAGTTAATGTCAGCATCTTTGTTGGTATATAATGGATCGTCGCTCAGTTAGTATTTATTAAATGTCAGCTCCAGGAATGATGAGTTGCATGCAATGTTGTAATTCATGAATGTGTTGAAATCCCAAACATACATTGTACTAGGGTAATTTTTTCTTTAATTTTTTACATGGTAAAACAATGCATTCAATTCTAGGTGGCTGGCAAATCTTAAATGTCAAAGAAAGAAAGGATGAAACATTTGCTTTTGAAATAGAGAATCCTTGTTTTTTGAAAGCGTTTTACCCACATGTGCCATTATTGAAGTAGAATATTTGTGTTGGGCAGACTTGTCCTCACCAGATGTCACAGCTCAGACTTCTTTGGTTAGAGACCTGGGGGTAAGTCCTTTTGCTATTAAGTAGGCAATTAATCTTCAAAGAAATGTAGAGAATGTAGTTGGTAATTACTAGGTGGAATTTGTGTTGTCCTTTTTGTAACAAATTGTTCTTTAAGAAAGAACATTTGTTTTTTATATTTATCAGTTGTCATGGGACTTTGTTACTTTTAAATTTGCTTCTGGATTCTAGCTTTCTAGCCCACATTTAGCTAGTCACAAATTTAGCTGTTGACAGAGAAAAGGAGAGTCAGTACATTAATTATGGTTCTGGATATATTTCATTACCAAGGCTAATTTTTTTCTTTTTTGGATGAAGATTAGCCCTGAGCTAACTGCTGCCAATCCTCCTCTTTTTGTTGAGGAAGACTGGCCCTGAGCTAACATCCGTGCCCATATTCCTCTACTTTATATGTGAGGTGCCTACCACAGCATGGCTTGATGAGCAGTGCCATGTCTGCACCCAGCATCTGAAGCGGTGAACCCCGGGCCACTGAAGCAGAACGTGCGAACTTAACCGCTGTGCTACCAGGCTGGCCCCACTGCCCCATCTTTTGACTGGGCTGCTGTCTTCCTCTTAATGCTTCAGTTCAAAAACGGGGATTAGAACACCTACCTTGAAATTTTGCTAGGAGCGTTAATTTAAGTGAAATGCGTACAACATACAGCATGCGCTTCTCTGTTAGTGGGTGTTCTGGGCTGCTTCTGTCTCCTACTCAGTAATCTGGCTCCCTGGCTCCAGCTTTTAGCTACCGCCTTCTGTTTTTATCCTGCTACCAGAGTTGTCTTCTCCGAATACACCCCTTTTTAAGCATCTTCAGTTTTTCTCCATTGCCGACTGTGTAGCCAAACCTCCTGACCGTCTCAGTCCAGGCCCTAAAGCTAGTCCTTCTTCCAGGATCCCATCCTTTATCCACGCACGGTCTCGACACTCACAGGCCTTCCCTGCTTCTTCTGTCCCAGCTACCTTAGATGACTAGGTGTTGTCTAAAAACCCTATTTTGACTTCGCTTTTGTCGTTTTTGAATTAGAGAGCCCTTTTCTCCTTTTTCCCTATCCTCTGATTGTTTAAAACAGTGAGCCAAAAATTTATTATATAGTTGCTAGGATTAATATACATGTATTTATGTGTATATGAAGATATGGACATATATGCCCAGACATATGCACATACAAGCTGTTTGTCATCACAGGGGGCAGCATGAGGGCGGCTCCACCATCTGTTAGGCATGTTGTCTTGTCGGGAAATAACTCAGAGTCTCTAAGCTTGTGTGTTTACGTCTGTTAAATGAAGTGGGGTTTAAATGGATGGTCTGTTTCTGTTCTTTGTGAAGGCCTCGGCCCGAACTTAATTATAACACAGGTAGAGCGATTCCATAAGAACTGAGATCCTTGGCTTTGTCATAGCGTTCAAAGAATTTAGATGTATGGCTGGTTAGCAGGATTAGGGAAAAAGAGTCAGCATTTGATGAGTGGCAGGCACTTTATGTCCTTTAATCCTTTGAAACCCCACAAGATAAGTAGGTATTTTACAGACGAGAACATTGAGGACTAGAAAGGCCACGTTATTTCCCCGAGATTTAAAGCCTGTTAGAGCCTCTTAGCTCTTAGGCTGTCTCCCCCAGACAGCGATGGCTGAGCAACTGCGTGCCTTTGTCTGTGGTTTCTTCTCTTAACACCAATTGTTCTCCAGACCGTAGACTCTTTACTCCAGACAGTTTGGAAAAAAAAGTTTGGTTCAGTGTATGTGTTCATCCCTTCTCTTTGTGTTCTTTCCCTTTCTTTCCTGGACAGTATTGCCATCTAAACACCACGATAGCCATAAAAATAATATCTGGCTTTCTGTTATTGTGCTTATTTTCTTAGGCTTATGAAATGTATTATGTGTATGCATTGTATTTAGACAGAAGGCAAATGTTTGTTTAAAAGAATAGGAAAGAAATGAAATTCGTGGCAGGTAAATGCATATTCTTTTTTTTTTTTCTTTTTGTCCCCAAAGCCCCCCAGTACATAGTTGTATATTCTAGTTGTAGGTCCTTCTGGTTGTGCTGTGTGGGATGCCGCCTCAGCATAGCTTGATGAGTGGTGCTAGGTCTGCGCCCAGGATCCGAACTGGTGAAACCCTGGGCTGCCAAAGCGGAGTGTGTGAACTTAGCCACTTGGCCATGGGGCCGGCCCCTAAATGCATATTCTTTTTTTTTTTTAAAGATTTTTTATTTTTTCCTTTTTCTCCCCAAAGCCCCCCGGTACATAGTTGTGTATCCTTTCGTTGTGGGTTCCTCTAGTTGTGGCATGTGGGACGCTGCCTCAGCGTGGTCTGACGAGCAGTGCCATGTCTGCGCCCAGGATTCGAACCGACGAAACACTGGGCCGCCTGCAGCAGAGCGCGCGAACTTAACCACTCGGCCACGGGGCCAGCCCCCCTAAATGCATATTCTTAATACATTACTTATCACTTTTATGTGTCTGGAGTCCTGTATAGTTCAAAGGCAAGATTTCAGTGCCTTGAGTGAAGTGGTGGTAACAGCAGTAAAACAAGGTCAGGAGCAACAGCCAACACTGGTTGAGCTGTTAGCATGTGCATACGTGTGTGTTACATCTGTTATATACATGTTATATACATGTTTCTATGTGCTTTACTTGTATTAGCTTTTTAAATCCTCCAAAATCCAGTAACCCTTGGAGGCTGGTAGTATAATTACCTCCATTTTATAGATGAGGAAATTGAGGCACAGAGAGGGTAGGAAACCTACCTAAGGTCACAGAGCTAGGATACATATTGTACAGAACTTGGCAGTTCCAAGTCTGAGTTAATTCAAATTTGTATTGTTAACCACTTATATACGTCATTGAAATGTCTCTCAAGTAATGTGTTGTTATCTCCTTTCCTGGGATTTGGGCTCACTGCAGTTTTTAGGGGCTGGTAACAGATTATCTTCAAAGTGAAAATGACAAGGCCTAGTGGGGTTTTACGTAAAGCCCTTGAATTACCGCGGTATCCTCAAGGAACTAAGGCAGTCCTTACTGTGTGGCATTGACAATGATATTTTTGAAGTTCAGGTATGAAAACATTACAGATTCATCAAGGTGCTTTAATTCATTCTACAAGCTGTCACTGAAATGGAAAATTTCATGTGTTTAAATGCTGGCTGGTGTAGGTTGTTTGGGATTACAACAGATAAGGAATTTTTAAGAGGTTTGGCAAGAATAGGTAAGGCAACCCTCTTTTCTATTTCATAAGCAGTAATCCTGAATTCTAAAACTGTATTCTGCAGGAAGAAAGTTTGAGCTAATTAGAGACATAATGTTTTTATAAGCTTGAGGAAATTTTTATTGGCTAAGAAATAATAGTATGTCATGTGCCTTTATGTTATTTTCCCCCCCCTTCTTTTTTTAGTTCTTCAGAGGACATGGATGAAAATGAAAGCAGCCAGTCCCTGATGACAAGCAGCCAATACCCCAAAGAAGCAGTAAGAAAACGCCAGAATTCAGCACGGAGTTCTGGCGGGAGCGATTCTTCAAGGTTCTCCAGGAAAAGTTTCAAACTGGATTACAGACTAGAGGAAGATGTCACCAAGTCAAAGAAAGGGAAGGATGGAAGATTTGTCAACCCTTGGCCATCGTGGAAAAATCTGTCTATTCCAAATGTCCTCAGATGGCTGATAATGGAGAAAGATCACAGCGGTGTTCCCAGCTCCAAAGAGGTATCATTGGGCTTTTTTCCTTTTTTAAAGATTTTATTTTTTTCCTTTTTCTTCCCAAAGCCCCCCTGTACATAGTTGTATATTCTTTGTTGTGGGTCCTTCTAGTTGTGGCATGTGGGACACTGCCTCAGCGTGGTTTGATGAGCAGTGCCATGTCCGCGCCCAGGATTCGAACCAACGAAATACTGGGCCGCCTGCAGCGGAGCGCGTGGACTTAACCACTCGGCCACGGGGCCAGCCCCTCATAGGGCTTCTCTGAGCGCTGTGTATTCACTCTTCATACAGAGATGACTGACCTCTGCCGTGAATTGTATTAAGACATGCGAGTTAGTTCACTGAGCCCCTTTCATAGGATAAGGCATGGGGCTGGGATCGGGGAGAGAAAATGGATAAGCTGCCCTGGACTTCATAGTTTTACAGCAAAGTACATACATGAGGAGCCAACTCCGTTCTGGTGGCAACTCGAGGCGGGCGCTTTACAAGGACGGGGAAGGAAGCTATGAATTCTCAGTGGTGGGGTTGGAAATGGCTTCACAGAGACGTGGTATTTGAGCTGGGCCTGGGAAGAGAAAAAGTGTTCTGACAGAGGTTTTCCAGGTGGATGGTGGCGTGAGCAAGGCCACGAAGGTGAGAAAGTGCATGGCATGTTCCAGAAAGTAGTAACCTGATGTGTGCTTGGAATGTGAATCGTGAGGGCGAAGGCGTGGCCTAGAGTGCTGGCTTTTCATCCTTGGATAAAGCTGCTAAAGCTGTAAAAGAAAGCTTCAGATAACCTTGCCAGGCCTTTGGAATTGGCAGTAGGTTACTGGCCTTTAAATGCGCTGATTTTACTTAGGATGAAACTGAGTGACATTTGGCGTGAAGTTTATTGGGTGAGTGAGATGATCCTTTGGCAGCGGGTGGGTGGCTCCCAATTGCCGTAGTGCCTTTTTCTCCTCTCTTAGTTTCCTGACCTCTCCACCTTCTGTCTCCCTCGGCCTCTCTTTTCCACTGAGCCCTATCCTGCCAGGCATTGTGGGGAGTTGAGAGATCAGGAACCTGATGTTGGGAGTGGGAGATGCGATGAACAGAGTGGGGGCATCCCGGAAGCCTTGGTCTGCAGGGGGAGGAAGCAGGGGTGGTGGTGGTGGTCGTGGGTGGGTGGGTGGGTGGTGGATCATGTACCTTGGTAACTGTGTCCGTTTTTCTGTAAAGGGTACGGGATAAAAAACTTGATACTGCCAGGTTGATGCTGAGGAATGTCCATAGTATCAATCCTAGCTAACAGAATAGATTAATGTGAATAATATTTTGCCAGAGCTTTTTTAGAATGAGGTAGGATGTTAATGGATAAAACCTTATGTTTCAACTTTGAGGATGAGAAGAACAAGACATTTTTTCCTTTTTCCTGGAGAACCCGATATAAAGAGAAACATGGAGGTGAGCTGTGCGAGGTGGGTCAGGGCAGGAGGCGAAGATGGGGAGGCTACCTGTCAGGGTAAATTTCTTCCCGGATTTTGAGCCACAGCTTCTAAAAATATAGCGGTAGCAGTGGTGTCTTCTGTTTTGTTTCAAAAAGGAGGCGAGCACCACGTGAAGGCAGAAATACGTCTGTGCACTCCAGTGACTGGGGATGTTCTAGGGCCCAGGTGGAATCAGAACTCGCCGGGCTGGTGGTTCTTAAGCTCTTTTGGTACTGGTCCCTTTTGAGAATCTGATGAAAGCCGTGGACCCTCTTTTTAGAGAAATATGCACATAAGCACATTGCCTCCTACTGTAATTTCAGGGAGTCAGTGGACCCTCTCAAGCCTGTCCGTTCACTCATTTAGCCAGTACTTATTGAGCACCTGCTGTGTACCAAGTACACTGTTCTGGGTGATAGAGAGAGCCGTCAACAAAGCAGAGACACACTCTGGCCTTCTTGGACCTTAGGGTTAGTGCAAGAGTGAGACAGTAAGCAAAATAAGTCAGTAAATTATGTGGCGTATTAAAAGATGATTAGTGCCATGGAGAAGAATAAAGCAGAGAAAGAAGTTAGGAGGATGCGGGGGCTGCGTTCTTTAGTGAAATAGAAAAGCCTTTTTTTTTTTTAAAGACAGGAGATTTTTAAAAATAAATGCCAAAGGAGATGTTATGTCTCAGTAGGTACCACTTAAAATAAACTCGGCATCACGTAAGAGAAGAGAGAGGATACTTTCGCACTATTCCAATCGATGTTTTATCTCTAACCTCTCACCTGCATCTTCTCCCTTGTTTCCAATAAAAGCCTAGAACTAGGTCAAACGCACGTTGATTTCTGGTATTTCCGTAGATGACCGTAACTCACGCCATCCCTTTAAATAAAATTATTAACTTTTACCAACTCCCGAATGTGACAGAGTTCTATATTTCCCCCCCAAAAACATTAAGAACCGTGTGAAGAACACCGGCTTCAGATCATTGCATCAACTCCCAATTTAATCAGATTTCTGGTGGTTGTTTTTGTTAGACACTGGGAGGCTAGAGTTTCAGATTATTGTTTGGGAAGGAGACAGGATGATATCATATATGGAGGGTTATAATTACTATATATTATGCAGTTTACATCATTATAGTATATTTAGGTCTATAAATAGGAAAGTAGTTTGGAAGAAACATACGATTAAAGTATAAAGTAACAGAACAGATCTAAATAAAAGGACAGCAGAGCTCTCTGGTTGAGTGGCCTGGTCAGACAGCAGTGTCTGTTTACTTGGCCATTCCTGATGCTGGTCTTTCTGGGTCTTCAGAGCAGTGTGCTGGTTCACAGCTTCGCATTGTTCAGACGCTGTCACTGCTTCATGCTGGCGCAGCTGGCGCAGTGACCTTGTCTCATCATTACTGTTGATCACAGTCACCAGTAATCTTGGGGAAAGAGACAAGGGAGAATTTCACAGAGACCGGGCGGCAGGCACCTCCTGAGTTCCGTCAGTGGACGGGAGCCGTCCTCGTCAGTCGCTGCTCTAGAGCCGAGCAGGGGACAGTCAGACGGGAGTGTGAGAGACACACAGGCCTGAGGCTGCACAGCATAGCCTGGAAGAAAAAGCGGGACCCCAGGAGTCCGGAAACCAGGCTCGGGTCAGGACTCCTCACCGAGAGTGACCTTAATCCTCTCACAATCCCTCAGGGAACACCTTGTTTTGGTCTATAAAATTAGGATAAGAGTTTAGGTCACTAGGATTGCTTCGAGGTTCACATGACACGGGAAAGTACTGTGAAAGTATAATGCACCCTTCAGATGTATGATATTGAAGAATAATAGGGTACCCTTTGAAAAAATGAAACATACTATTTTCTATTTATGCTATAGTATGCTAAGAGGTTGCTGTTTTTTAATCAAGAAAAAAATACGTGTATTCAGTTTGTAAAACGTCTTAGTCCTGTAAGGCTTATAAGACACATCCCATTCCCTAACCAGCCCCTGCCACTCAGTCCTATTCCCCAGAGGCAACGCTCTTTATGTTCTTCCCTCTGGAGTTTACCTTCATATTTCTTTTAATTTCATTGTGGCAAGAACACTTAACATGAGCTCTTCCCTCTTAAACTTTTTTTTTGGGGGGCGGGGGGGAAGATTAGCCCTGAGCTAACATCTGCTGTCAGTCCTCCTCTTTTTGCTGAGGAAGACTGGCCCTGAGCTAACATCTGTGCCCATCTTCCTCTACTTTATATGTGGGAAGCCTACCACAGCATGGCTTGTCAAGCAATGCCATGTCTGCACCTGAATCCGAACTGGCGAACCCCAGGCCGCTGAAGCAGAACGTGCTAACTTAACCGCTGTGCCACCAGGCTGCCCCCGTCTTAAACTTTTAAGTGGACAATACTCTATTGCCAACAACAGGTACAAGGTTGCTTAGCAGGTCCCTAGAGCTCATTGTCTTGCTGATTGATTAGTGACTCCGTTTCCCCTCCCTCCACCCCTGGCAACCACCATCTCCCCTTCGAGTCTGACTCTGACTGTTTCAGCTAGCTCATACATATGTTGTCATGAAGTCTGTCTGTCTGTGTCCTTCACATTTACTGTCAGATTGAACTCACTCTGACCCCTCCTCACCCGCCCATGGTTCTCCTTGAACTTTCCCTTTGCTGTTCACGTTATTGTGACTATATCGGTATTTCCCATTGACAACCGAGTAATGTACAATGGCCGTGTCTCCTTTCTTATCTACTCTTCCCCGACGTTAACGATCCCTGTTGTTCGTCTGCTTCACTTTCTGTGCCGTTTGTGACCAGGCCCTGCCCTCCTGCCCGTGGCTTCTCAGCAGTGTTCCTGAGGGGGCGACCTCCAGGTGGTCTTTCAGCCGCCTGCAGCCTTCCTGCCGGCGTCGTTCCGGGGTCTCCCTCCACTGTCATCCTGGGCTCCTCTGCCTCCTCCGTGTTGGCTCTGTTTCCTGCATCCCCTTGTTCCTCTTTCTTGGATATTTTCTCGTTTTGGTGGCGCACATTGTTAATGAGCTTCCTGAGCGAGGGCCTGTGGGAAGTTGGTTTTTGAGACCTTGCTTGTCTGAAATGTCTGTATTCTCTTCATGGTGTGGGTGTAGAATTTTAGTTTGGAAACGGATTTCTCGCAGAATTTGAAAGTGTTGCCTCCGTGACCTTCCTCTTAGGATGGCTGTGGACGAGCTCAGTGCCATTCTTGATCCTTTGTGCATGACCTTTATTTTGCCTCTAGAAACCAGGGGTCATCTCTTTGGCACCAGTGTTCTGAAATTTCACCATGATGTCCGGTCCCATATGCATCACGCCTCATGCCTGGTGGGCTCTTTAGATGTGAAAATCTGTTTCTTCAGTTCTAGGAAATTTTCTTATCTATTTCTGTGAACATTTCCTTCCCTCCATCTTTTCATTCTAAAATGACTACTAATTATATTTTGGGTCTCCTAGACCAATCCTCTATAGTTTTTTTTTTTTGCTGAGGAAAATTAGCCCTGAGCTAACATGTGTTGCCAGTTTTCTGCCTTTTTTTTTTTTTGGCTTGAGGAAGATTAGCTCTGAGCTAACAACTG